TATATATATATATATGTACTTCTCTAAACGTTTCTACACCTATACATACAAGCGGGTGTAACTATGGTCACGTAATGTAGTCGCGTGATATATTTGTAAAAAGTTTCGATTTCCAAGTCTATGGAGCTTCATCGCTTAATATGATTATAAGAACAATCAATCTATTGTCATACATATGTTGGGAAAAATAATTAATATAACAAGTGACGGACGATTGAAAAAGGAAAGATGCGACACGACACTTACCTCTAACGCTGAGAGCAATGAAGGTCTGCGCGTGCCTTTGCACCATCCTCGTGTCCCAGTAGTTGGCGTCGAAGGGTAGACGGGCGATTATGTAGAACAAGAAATCGTTGGGCGTCACCGCCGACAAGTCCCACTTGAGCTTCGACACCACCAGCTGCTCCCACCTCTGCAATCACAAGATATTTGGCACGTTTAGTAACGTCATTGTTCTCAATAAGTACATCATCGTGGGTAATGTGTGTACAGAACAGTGAACGGTATGAAAAAAAAAATCGTGGCTGCCGATTATTTGTCGTCATCGAGATTTGCATTACATGTTACCATAGCCAATTCGGCTTTTGATGTAGGTATACTGTACCAGCGATTGTTTTCGACAAACTTCGAGGAGGGGAGGAAGAAGAATAAAAAAAAAAAGGGGGGGCCGGGGGAAAGAAGAGGAGCACCGGTCCGCGTTCTCGGAACATTGTAACCCGCGCGCGGAGGCAAGGAATCCGCTTCTCTTTACTTTTCTTTTTTTTTTTGCAACCACAATATATAATACTCATGTGTGCTGTATACTTGTACAGTATATGACATTGTATACGTTGTATTTTACGCACAACCAAAGAGGAGAAAAAGCGAGTATTTGCAAAACTGGTCGGATGAGCCCGTATACCTATACTCGAAGGGGAAACATACAAAAGGACTTTTTTTTTTTTTTTTTTGCTCGGCCGGGGATTATTGTTGCGTAAAGGCTAATTGCGTGCTTGACGATCATACGAAGATTACACCGCCGAAATCTCGTTTTCTCTACACGCGCAAATGTATAGAAATTTCATCGAGTACCGATTTCATAGACCGAGAGCCCTTAGGTGTAGGTGTACAGGGTATATTATATCGTATATACGCGCAGGTGTTCGCGTCACCGGCTGCTCATCGGTATACGCTTGGGGAATCGGTAAGACACGAGCTAAAACGAAATAACCCAAGAAAGCCGAGGACGCGACGATGACGACACTGCGAGGAGAAGCTCATCGTCTTTCGGGTATTTGTATATACTATATATTACTCCCTTGGGTGTGTTGAATGAAACAAAGGAGTTACGAGCGCGTACGGGGGGGGGGGGGGCAAAAAGAAACCGAGGCTACCTATATACGTGTACACTGCGGTACAGCTTTTACGTTTACGCCAACTTTTGCTTTTACTACACCATCGCGCTATAGCGAGGAGATGTATATAGCTCGCGGCTCGATTTTCTCGTCGGCCGCGCGTGTTCTCGGTTTTTTATTCGCCCGCCACATACACCGAGTGCATATATACGTGTGACTGGGGCTCTCGCGTATCTCCCTTTGTCAGTAAATGTGTATATCTGTAAATTGCGAAAAAAAAGCAGCAAGCATTTACGTTGCACGAAGTGATATTTCGTGCGCTTGCAATAAGGTACAGGGGCGATGATAATTTGTCGAGATTAAATTTTTCCTAATACTACACTTACGCGAGACGGAGAGAGAGAAAGAGAGAGAGAAAGGCGGGCCTAATTATATAACGCAGCGGTAGTCGCACCTGCTCCAACTGCCCGTCACTCCACCGAAGGTATATTATTATCGCTGTCGATGTTTTATCTAGACACTTTGACTTTAACGTTGAACATTAACGACCATAGGGTTGATCTATACACCACTCCCTTGTACGAGGCACGGTCACCGGCTCGGTCACCGGCAGCAGTTGCTCGTTGGATTTCCTGATACGTGCGAAAGCTCGTGTCACAACTGCAGAGGAAATTCGTGCACAAGGGGAGAACGGGTATCTTGCATCTATAGAACATAGGGTTCCTATATGTATTCGTATCCGAGCAACGTGTGCAGCGAGATAAAATCGGCATCGACGGGTTTTTCCACCAAAAAAACTCGCAGGTGCGAATTTTGGTGCACTCCAGCTGTTGCCGTGGCTTTCGGTCGATAGTTGTTGTGTACTATTCGACTTCTTGGGGCCCGACAAGTCCGACGATGGCCGAGCGCTTTGTGCTAAATAATTCAACGCGAGTAAAAAAAAAAAAAGGAGGACGCGGAGGAAAAAAAATGTAATAAAAAAAATGAAGAAGGAAGCTCGCCCGTCGCGCCTTCCCGTAATAAATTCAATTACCTATACCGTCCTTGCGTTTCACGTGTTTTCCAAATACATATATATATATATACGTATATGCACCAAACGGTGCACGCACCGCACCGCGATCAAATTAGAATAATGACGTTTATCCGTCGACTTTATCGGGCTGGGACGACCCAGCATTATTTTCATTTTTTCCTACGTTAAGAAGGGAAAATCAGTGCGCACTTGTATCATACGTTTATATATGTATATAAAAAAGGAGGGGGGGGGGAGTCAAAACGTGCAACGTAGTAGATTTCACTCGAATGAGCGTGAATTACGGTGCCGTGCGTGTACCTATACCAACTTGTCATAGTTGGCCGCCCTCGCGCACATCACGCACACGAGCTTTTTCTCGCGATGCAGGATGTCTGCGCTATTATGTGTACCCAGACCCCAGTACCTACACAGTATAAATGTGTACGCGCTGTGCGTAGTAGACAATTGGTATAGTGCATTTAATGTGCCGCTCGCACGTCCTAATGTACATTTTTCCTTCATTTTATTTTTTTTTTTTTTTTATATACATCGTACATCGTTTCACAACCAATATCTTTGCCCTTATTTTGACAAACAACAGCCCACGTATACACGGACTCGTGTAAATTCCGCGATATCGTTCAAAAATATTTATTTCGCTAACTTTAATCCCGACAGACGTAATACGATCGAAAGAAGAAAAAAAAAAAAAAAAAAGAATTTTTTTATCACCCAAAGCGCCGATATAACATAAGAAACAGCTGATCCCGCAGCTGACTCAATCGGGCCGTGTTCTGTTTATTCCGTCTAACTGATAGACGACACCTATATACATATACTTAAAAACCACACGAGCTTGATTTGATTGCCGATCGATTCGCGTGTACACACGTATATATATATATATATATAAATGTGAGTGGAACTTTACATCACGAATAATATAATACATTAGTAACGCCACGAGTTCGATATGAACAGCTGTTTGGAAGAAAAAAAAAAAAAGAAAGAAATCACATCGCGCCGCATTGATTGTAATTTTAATCATTTTTTCCTTTCCCTTATTTGATTTTATGTAACAAAATGTTGTTTGAACGCTTCTGTCGAATGAAGCTCCCTATACCCAAGGATCGAAAGAAATATTTATAACCGTATATGAACGAAACGCTATTTATATAGATGAAGCGAGACGAGGACATCGCAGCAGGGCAGACTGACTTTTCTTTTCAGAGCCAGGACGCGGAGGACGAACCAACGAAACAAAAATATCGAAATGATCACACGATTGAGCAAGTATAGTTACACCGAGACGTTCGCACAGTAAAGAAAAAAAGGCCCCACGTTCCCCTCTGTCGTTGCAAAAAACCCCGCGCCACCGTGCCCCCGAGCACCCCCCTCGTTTCAACTGCCGGAGCGAAGAGCACGAAAATCAAAAGAACTCGGGTTCTTTGGAAGCAAAAAAAAAAAAAAAGAAAAGAAAAGAAATGATCGCGCTTAGCAACGCACACTCCGTTATTCTTTGCAACAACTTGCACGAACCCCCCGTTTCAACCCCCAAAGCCGCGTTCGCAAACTTTTTCACATCGGCGAGCAGCGGTAGTCCCAACCCCATCCCTTTTGGCACGATCTTTGCGAGCTCCCCTCGGGGACTTTCTCACCCTCTATATGCGCACCGTGTCGCCCGAGCGTCTTTTACCGCGAAGAAAGCAACGACCCCTCGATCTCAAGGTTACCGGCGAAAAACTCACCCTATTATACATTATACGCGCACACGCGAGCGGATTTTCTAGCCTATACATAATAGCGCGTATATTACAATATATATATTATGGGGTCGTGTGAGAAAGAAGGGCCGACTTGCGGACTTTCTTTTTGTACTCACGCGCGAGTGCAGTATATAATATGTACTGCTCGATACGACGGGAGCAGATGCGCGTTTGGTGCTTTGTGTGTGGTGTATTGTTGGGTACGACGACGGTGCGGTTCTCCCATGTAGGATATCGAGGAGTCCGCGAGAGAAAGCGTTATTTTTATGTGAGTATAGACATCGATGACCATCACAACATGGAAATCTTTTTCCTAGTGTATATACGTTAAGTGGTCGCTGCGATAAAATTATGGTTTTTTTTTTCTATTCTTTTTTCCTCATTTAACGAAGGTACACATCGTTTAACGTCCATTAACGATACGCGCTTTTTGACCCAATTACATTTCGAGGTGTAGATATGTACATGTACCTACACGCTTGTTTTGCGAAATTCAACCGAAACGGTCGTTGCCGAGTCCGATCGGCCCGTCATGTGTCCCCAGAGATAAGGCCATATAGGAAGAGAGTTCCCGAAATTTCGCACGCGCGTACCTGCACGCGGGTCGTGAGGTACCGTAAGTGAGTACATTCATTTTATCGGTGGGAGATAGTAAAACAGCACATTCGCGTCGCGTCAAACAGATAAATAAAAGTACATCGACGTATTTTGGGAGCGTATATAGTACGTGGAAGACGGAATTTAATAATAGATCGATTTAATTGCAATACATATATAGGGTAAAAAGTCTAAGGAAATTTTGTACGTCGAGATCTGCCAGACTACGGGATAACATAAAGAAAAAGAAAAAATGATCCAAAATCCAACAGAACGGAAAAATCGGTATTTGACAGTCGAGCCAATTTGAAGGCGCTGCAGATAAGATACATCGAAAAGAAGAAAAAAAAAAAAAAAAGAAACCAGAGTAACCAAAGAGAGATACCACTTGGAAGTTGTGTCAGTGGGGAGTGAGATCTTTCCGAAAACGAGATTACACTTTTACGTACGTGGCCAGAAAACAGAGAGAAAAAAGAAAAAAAAACTAAGAGTATACCGACTTTGTAATGCCTAATTATTACTCTCAGCGTATAAATATATACACTTACCGCGGAATAATGTATATAATCATGCATAGGCAAGTGTACGATAAATATCGACGTTTCATCAGCAAAAGGAGGTATGGTAGGAATACGTCTCTTTTAACTTCAAACGACGAACAGTTGGAAAAATAAAAAAGAAGGTTTTACACGTGGCA